CCCCCCCCCACACACACACACTGCACTGGGTTGCACCACCACTCCACCCCTGCTCTGCCTCTTCCAGGGGTGGCAGATTTGTAGAAATTTTGGTGGTGCCCAGAAACTGCCCCCCGAAACTCCACCCCCACCTGCCTAAGGCTCTGGGAGGGAGTTTGGGTGGGGGTGGAGGTCTGGGGTGCAGGCTCTGGGATGGAGTTTGGGTGCTGGGTGAAAGCTCCGGGCTGGGGCAGGGGGTGAGGGTGCAGGCTCTGGGATGGAGTTTGGCAATAGGAGGGGGTGCAGGGGTGAGGCCGGGGGACACTCAGGGGAGGTGCATGGGGGTGGCAGACGGGGCTGGGGGAGAGACCTGGCCCCAAACATTGGGGAGCAGCGAGCAGGGAGCTTAGCTGCCACATAAAATAACTCGGGGGGGGGTGGGGAGTTTGGCTGTGACCGGAAGTAACTGGGGGAGGGGGGAGCTCGGCGGGTCGCAGAGAAGAGCTCCGCGGGCCGCGTCTTTGAGACCCCTGATCTAAGCATTACATTTAGAAAGGGATATGCCTTGTAGTTTCGGCTCAAACTTTGACCTCTCTTAAAATGATCCAGTAACAAAATATATTCAACAACACCACATTATCATTGCTGTCAATAAGGATCAAATATAAAACTTAATACATGATCCTGGAACCTGTTGCTGTTCTTCTATGACATTCATTAGCCAGCTGAGGAAGCACACATTAACTAATATCTTTAAAAAAAATTCCCAGAACTGTGCCGGTGACTTCCTCACTGATGCTCCTGAAAACAAGTTAAACATTACAAAACCGGGATTAGTTAGTTCTTCATGAAAGAAAAAGAAAATGGGGGGAAATGTCATTGTTTGCCAAATGGAAAAAGCAGAGGGCTAGTAAAGAAAGAAATGTTTCTCTCATTTCTAACAGGGCATTATAAACAAAGAAGAGTAAACAACAAAAATTTAAAATGATATAAAAGTGCTTAGTGTTTCTTTAAATATTTACTTTGCTGCTATTTGGGGAATAATTTGTTCCATTTAGCTAGAGTTGGACTCAGAGGACTGCTTTAATCCAGAGAGATTAATTATAGCCTTAGAGTTATAACACAAGTTTGGGGAAGCAGAGCACAGAAAAAGAAAAGAGGAAGGAATGAGTTTCTCGTTAGCAATTAACAAGTTTGTGTGTTTCAAGGTTATAGCAGGCAAACTGTGCTCTAACTACCCCTGTATACTGACAACAGAAAGGGTGTAAATCAGGGCAAAATTGGGCCTGGAGATGTCCAGGAAAGATACTGCTATACTGAATCTAACAGCAGAGATATTGAAGCAAACAGCAGAGGTAACTGCGTTGCTAGGGGTAACTAAGCTACCTCTCAGTTGTCCTTCATTTGAAATCCAAATTTACCTGTATCTTGCAAAGACCTCCTGTGATCTCACTTTTATTATTTACATCAGAAATGTTGAATCATCAAGCTGAGACTATAAACAATGTTAATTAGGCTACAGAATTGATCCACATTAATTTTAAGCTTCTTATGGTATTTTACTCATCTATCATTTTGATCCTTGGCTCCTTGCTGTGTCCCACATTCAGGCCCCAGGAGGCTTAGAGGCATGGGATCTAAAAGAGCTAGAGACAAAGAAAAGGTAACATAGGGAAAGGAGGGGGGCGGGGAAATGTTGTGTATGAGCTTACCTAGTGATGGTTCAGGTACTCCTTCCTCAGAGCTGTCCTCAGCACCCTCCTCACCCATTCCAGAGGTCACAGAATCTTCTGGGGCAGACGCTGAGCCTGGAGTGCTTGGTCCACTAACAGAACCAGAATCCCCTTCTTCACTGCTGGATCCATACCGGTCTGGCTGAGCAACGGTTCCACTCTCACTGCAGCTCCTGCGTTCTTTCCTGTGCACCCGCGAATGGAGCACCATTTGGTGGTAGGTGCGGAAAATCTTTCCACACTCAAAGCACTCGGTGGACTTGTTTTGGGATGCCCTTCTGCTCTGCCTTGAGGAGGGTCTGTAGTCCAGGTCGCCCTGGGCAAGGATACAGTTTTCTCCTTGTTGCACATTGCTGTTCTTCTCCAAGCGCCCACTGACACAGCTTTTCTTCTTGGGGTTGCTGGAGGAGCTGGGTGAATCCTGATCTCGCTTGCGCTTCTCCTGGCTGACAAGAATATATTCTCTTTTATCCTTGTCATAAGTCACATCTGCATCAGCAAGGACTTCATCCCATCCCACATATTTAACATACTCAGAAGGCTCCGCTACTTTTCCTTTGGTGGCCAGCTGCCAGGCCTGGTAGCTACTGACTGGATCCAGCTCAGCTACCCTTTTTCCAGGCTGTCCATTTGTAACTCTATCTATCCCTACAGCTGGCCTCAGATTCAGGCACTGTAAGAAAAATTGCTTATTTACAGATGGATCTAGGTTTCCATCAATTAACCCCTCAGCTTTGTTCTCAATACTGCTTCTTTGAGCTCTCAAGTGTACAGCATTGTGTGCTTTTAGGCTTTCCATATTTGTAAACAGATTCCCACACTTGGTGCAAACTTCATACAGAGATAAGCCAGTCACAATTGTTTCCTCCTGAATCACATTATTAATAGTGGCTATGGGCTCTAAATCATTTTTTGGTTTGTTTTTGCTCCCCGTCTTTGGACCGTGTGATTTCATGTGGTTTTTGAGAAACCAGGGTTCTTTAAATCTTCTGCCACAAATGTGGCATCCATGATCAAACGATCCTCTATGCTTTTTCATGTGAGCTTTGAGAAACCAGGTTTGACTAAAGGCCTGACCACAGACTTCACAAGGAAATTCCCCTGCATTCAGCTCACTCTTGCAATTCTCGGTGTAAGTTTCCCCATTTGGAATTTGAGCTGTAATATGGTCTTTCTCTATGTGGTTTAACAGTGTCTCTTCTCTTAATGTCATGTAGCTACAAAGCCTGCATTTGTACGGCTTATGGACTTGATGTAGGTGCTGGTCCAGGTCTTTCTTTCTCTCAAACTTGTTTTTGCAGAAGATGCACTGATAAGTGGGTAGCTTGTCAGCTTCTGCAGGTGATGCCTCTGTGACAAGCTCCTTCTTGCTGCTTCTCAACAAAATCTTGCTGTTGTCTGCCTGAGTTGCCCCGTTCAGAATCTTGTTGCAGGCAGATGTACTTTTGGTGGGGCTGGTGCATCCGTCAAGGCCTTCTGAGACTCCCATCTCTCCAAGCTGTGCTTCTCCCATCTCCACCTCATGCCCCTGACTTAAAGTGCCTGTTCTGTGACTCCGAATGTGTATCTTCAGATTGCCCTTTTGGGAAGCTCTATGGTCGCAGTAAGGACATTTATAGGGCTTCTCTCCTGTGTGCTTCCTCATGTGCTGAGACAGGGAGCTCTGAAAAGGAAAACTCTTGCCACAGATGCAGCAGCTGTGGCACATGGACTTGTCTCCATCAATGTCACTCTTGTTTACCTTGCTGGGACTAGAGGATCTTCGTAATTCCATCTCTGCCTCCTTGCTGCGATCCATCTGAACTACTGCAACATCGGTCGTACAGGGCAAAAGGACAAAGCCTTGTCTAACAGCAGAGGGCTGGGCTGTGGTTTCAATCATACGGTTCTGCTGAGTGTTTCTCTCTTCATTCTCAGGTTAAAGTTTCCCCTATCAATTGCTCGAAAGAGTCTGGGGTGTCACTTTATTCATGTATGTTCTGTAAGCAGATGGCAACGAGCACCTGAAACAAACAAAAACACAAATACAGAAACTGTGTAAGTAGATTCTTCAATATGTTAAAACTATTTATACTTTTCCTTGGGCGATTTTTGTCACCAGACCCAATTTCAAAAACATATTATACTTTTAGTTATTTGAATAATAAGCATTAGCTTATATTCATATTCCATAACATGCACAATTTTAGTTTAAATGGTTAGCATTCAAAGCAACATTAATTAAAATATCATTTGGGGTAAAAAGAATTACTTATACAGAGATAAAGGACATCATGGTTTAAAAGAGGTGTGTGCCCCCCCCCCCCCCAAAAAAAATAGTATGAATAAAGTCTCAACAGGGAAAATCCATTTTTAAACATTCCTATATTTCTTATTTCAAAAACCGAGAGAGAGAGAGAGAGAGAGTCTGTATGTCTCTGTGTATATATTATTTACTAATTAGGAAACCATTTCTTGAAGTGGTTGTTACACTTTAAATCTGGCTTTATAGTCATTTATAATTTCATTTAAAAATATTTGCTTGCCCAGAGATAAAAGACTTTTCTAGAGACTTTCTTTATAGAATATTGTATCACTCTTGAAAATTACATTAAATTGTATTTCGGGCAGTTCCGCTGTGCTTGATGTGGGGTGTACTTCATGTAACAGGAAAACAGACTGCAGTGCACTTCACATTTTGATTAAAAGGGAAACTAGAATACAGAGATTGACAAAGTATTCTGTATATTTAAAGATGATTTTCTGTTGGACATCCAGTATGAAAAAAAATGCTGATCCAAGACTTAAGCCCCAATTCAAAGTAAATAAGCATGTGCTTAAATGCTCACTGATGTTAATGGTGGTTAAAGTTATGTCAACGGAACTTAAAGGTAAGCATGTGCTTAAATGCTTTGCTGAAGCAGGGCCTCAGTTTTAAAATCACATTGGTCAGTGATGAACAAATGGAATTTTAAAAGCTGTTGCATGACAGTATATATAGTAATAACCATCTTTAAAACTGGGTCCCTTATTTATCTCAGCTACACAAGATGTATTTCCCCACCAACCTGCCACCCTGAACACACACAAAAAGAGAAACAACATTATTAACATTATAAAATAAGCTTTTTCAGTCCCCTTATAAATACAAATCAAAAGTTTCTTAGTTATTTCTAGCCCCCTTAATCAGTTTGAACAGCAAGTTCTATCTGAAAGAAAGAATATTGAAATCACTAATGGATGGAGTCAATCCATTTCTTTGGTAGTAAGAAAAGAAAGCAATTTCTTAAGATGTGGCCAGATCTAAACACTACAACTACATCCACACATACACACTTTTCACTGGAGACTTCTGATGCAAAAATCAAAGAAACAGATTTATAGTTGCAAAGTCTAAGGCCTTGTCACTTTGTTCATCTCAGATTATTCTGAACTGGGAAGTGAAAACATGTAGTCTGACCATGAATAACATCATAAATCTAACACAATCTAAAATAATTACATTATTCATCTCAGGCACTCAGTTACATTCCCTGGTAATAACACTAATTATTTTTAAGCTAATCTAACTTTTCATTTTCTGAAAAACAATTCAGTTTAGATCTTCAGGGTAATTAATTTTGGTTACTAGCTGTTTATAGTTTTAAGAGGTAAGCATCTACCTTTTCCTCAAGGACCAATACAACTACAAATATCTCCAAGAAACACTTCTCAAATTCATTTCTTTCAAATAAAACACATTTTTATATTATGACTACGTCCAGAACTAATGTACTACTTTATCAGGGGAAAGTCACATTCGATCAAGAGCTAAAATGTCTAACTGAGCAACAAGTTTGCAAAGAGAGCGTCTGAACTGCTGATCCTTGAAATTAGCAGTTTAGGACTGAGTTGAGGAACAGCCCCACAAGACACATGCTTGGCTAAATGAATAATGGGAACCAGAAAGATGTACCAAAAGTACAAACAAGCCAGAAAAACCCCACATAGGGCAATAATGAGCGAAGCAGTTCAAATAAATTAACAACCCAACTTGAACCATAACCAAACTTTTCCTGAGCTTCAAACTCATTGCCCTATTATTTTTAATTTTTCTAAGCCTGGAAGCAGTGTCAAAATGGTATGTTGAACAGGGACCAAGTAAAGGGAAAACCTGTTCTCAGGAAATTTCCAGACCAGTTTGTTGAATCAAGAGTTTCAGATTAGCACCTATGCAGGCTATGTGCCTAACTCTTTATTAATTTCAATAGGAGTAGGGTGCCTAACCTGCTTAGGCACTTTTGAAAAATCTCAGAAGGCACCTATCTTCATCTTTAGGAACCTACACACCTTTGAAAATCTGGCCCTTGGTTACTGGGATGCTTCTCCAGGATACCTAGGGCTGTGAGGAACCTCGCTACCACCTGCCCTTAGTGTGAGGAAGCCATGTTTGTGCCTATCATGGGTCAGCTCCCTGACTACACCTGCCACAAGCAACCCAAGCATTTCCCTTCAGGCCTTACAAGCCCTGCAGTCACTCTACAGGTTAGCAATTAGGACACCCTAGCCCTTGAGCCCTCTGATCACTTCCTTGGAATGTCCAGCCCCTGATTCACAGGAGACCCCCCCCCCAGTATTCACAGATTCACTGTTTCCAAAGAAACAACACATCTTAGCTTATCAATTCCACCTCAGTTAATCGCTCCACTTAACTCAGAGCACTCAAATATGTTAGTGATGTTGCACTCTATATGATTTTATGAAAATATGCTAATGAGTGTGAATACAATGTAACTGGAATATGCTTCATGCAAAAGGTCTCTTGTAAGGTATCATTACAAAGCTTATAATCTCCTGAGTGTGGTCATCCTATTTGTACAAATATATCACTCTTGTATCTGAAACTAGAAATATGAAATATAACTCTGAGGTCCTATCGTAGTTATGCAAAGTGTGGGCCATTAATGGTGGTTTGGAATCTTGATGGCTCCCATTAACCCGGACAATTGACTAATGATAGCTCTGTCTACTTGTAAGTCTTCCTGTATATCTGTGTACTGGCAAGTGGGCAATGAAGTCTTACAGTGACATGTGATCACCTCACCTAAACTTGCATCTGAAGAAGTGAGGTTCTTACCCACGAAAGCTTATGCTCCCTATACTTCTGTTAGTCTCTAAAGTGCCACAGGACCCTCTGTTGCTTTTTACAGATTCAGACTAACACGGCTACCTCACCTAAACTGGAATCCATCTTTAACCTGGTGCTTTTCCATTTAGAAGGAGGGGTGGGAACTCAGAGAGGGACAAAGGATTCTCGCCTCGTGCAAAAGATATATAAGAGGGTAGAACAGAACAAAGGGGGCTGCAATCATGAGAAATCCCCTAGCTACCACCTGAGCTGGAACAAGGGCTGTACCAGGGGAAAAGGATTGTGGCCAGACTAGGAAGGTGTCCAGTCTGTGAAAGAAGCTTATTGAAACATCTCTGAGGGTGAGATTTTATCTATATTCAGCTTTCTTACTGTATTAGGTTTAGACTTGTGTGTTTTATTTTATTTTGCTTGGTAATTCACTTTGTTCTGTCTTATTACTTGGAACCACTTAAATTCTACTTTTTGTATTGAATAAAATCACTTTTTACTTATTAATTAACCCAGAATATGTATTAATACCTGGGGACGGCAACCAACTGTGCATATCTCTCTATCAGTGTTATAGAGGGTGAACAATTTATGAGTTTATCCTGTACAAGCTTTATATAAGGTAAAATGGATTTATCTGGGGGTTGGATCCCATTGGGAGCTGGGTATCTGAGTCCTGGAGACAGGAACACTTCTTAAACTGTTTTCAAAACCTGCAGCTTTTGGGGGACGTTGTTCAGACCTGGGTCTGGGTTTATAGCAGGCTAGCGTGTCTGGCTCAAACAGGCAGCATTCTGGAGTCCCAAGCTGGCAGGGAAAACGAGTTAGAAGTAGTCTCAGCACATCCATCCCAAGGGGGTTTCTGTGATCCAACCTGCCACAATGTTTACACTGAAAACAAGTGTAAGTGTATTAAACACAGCATAGCGATTCAAACAGAAGCAAGTAAAAGTATTGGAAACAAAATGGTTACTTATAAAATAAAATCATAACATGCACTCTAGAGCCTAGACTTAATTACCAAGATACTCTCATGTCTTGTAAAGTAATTCTCACCCAAAATCCTTCTTCCTTTATTGTATAGAGGCTGGCTCATTGTGTCACGTGTAGGCTTTGGAAGGCTGAATGCCCAGTACACACACATATTGTAGATGAACAATCTCAGAATCTCTCATCTAACTGTTTGAGTGCTATGCTGACTGTCACATTGCTAGAAGGACTCTTTGCAGAACAACAATGCTGTTCTCCACCAAGAAGGGAGGAAATGGTGAGTTCAAAATGAAAATATCAACTTTGAAAAGAATGCTTCAATGCCTCAAGACTGAATCAAAAAAGAAAAAGAAAAAACTACGCTTGGACGCTTCAGTTAACATTCAGATTATTAGTGACTAACTGTTTCGCTCAACACTTAGCCTGGTGCAATAGGTGGAAGCCACCAGCTTTTAACTCACTACGGTTGGTTACACTGCTCTACAGCCAAAATGCTTCTGAAATAAATGTAGTCAAACTTTACTAATTCTGGATCACTGAGAACAAAAATAATGCTTAAAATTGTTGATTGGCTCTAGTTTTCAAGATATGCTATTGGGTCAGTATACACGACCCTTGACTTGGGAACGGCGGAGGATAAGTGAGTTATAAAGGGAAGGGATCTCAATTTAAACCAGAAATGACTAAATACATCTTTG